GGCTCTTCCAACGCTTTTCTCATAAATTGAGTTTACTCTTTTCGACAGCTTTGTTTGCCTTGCTTTCGCTGCGCAGCCCCTCCTTTTCATCTAATTTCCTTTTGCGTAAGTATCACATGTCTATGCAACCTGTATCATTGTATCTTTGTATATTTTTTGCGCCTGCCTTTGATGGTTATGCCCATTTGGATTTGTACGGAATTATGGCGAATTATGGCCCACACAAATCAGCACAAAACTTTATTGTACGTCATGTTTTCTCAGCTGGAGTGCAAAATTCCTGGGCGCAATGAGATTGATTGAGCCATTACATGAATGACCTTCCTTTTGATTGGCAGTGAAGTTAAGGGCAGCTTGCTAATTGGCCAAATGGCGAATACCAAATATGTGTCTATCCGAATTATTGTTGCTACCTCGCTTAAGAAACACAAGGCATGCTGTGTAGTTATCATCTTAAAGCAAACTGAATAACTTTTGGGATTTGCTAAGCCATTTAAATGTGTATGCATGTGAACTTTGTTTTATTCATTTTGAAAATCATATTAGCATGCCAAAATTTTCTTCAGCATCAAATTATTCAGTAGATTTTCCTTGACCTTTGAATTAGATTTCTTGTATTCTGCTTCTGTGGAACGTCTTTAGTAATTTTTGTTAAGTGCATTCTGCTAAGTTTTTGTGTGTTTCTTTCGAAAAATTACCATTTATTATTTTTTTTACTAGAAATTAAAAAGAAAAGGGAATGCAAGCTCAGAAAGCATTAAAGTGATGATAAAATTATTATTTTTCGGAATTCAAAAGGAGAACAGAGATTATTATTGTTAAAATGGTTCGTTCTCAAGAATTATGGATATTTCTACTGATTGATAATATAGACTGTATATAAAGACTTCCTGTTACATACTTTTCATCAAATGCAGAATACCCTCTAATCTCCTCGATGATGTAAAACGATGTAAATTTCCAAGCTCAAAAGCCCTCTACCGAGCTCCTCACTCATCCCAGTAACCTTTTCAGAGAATATATTCTTGGCGAGCCAAATATTTATTTATATGCGTTTGGATTTAATTAAGAAAAATAAAATAAAAGCGAAGAGCGTTTTTCAAGCCCCACAACTTGAGGTGGAATTCAAAAGCAGGGTCAAAGGCACCCAAGCAAGCTGCCTTGATCTTAGCATGTTCTCGTATTTTCATAGCAAGTTGCAAGGAATTCGGTTAATTTGTATTCTCATAGCAGACGGCGAATACCTCGGCGTGCAGACCGACAATAATACATTTGTTTGTATGTTTATACGCTTTGCAATATATAAATACATACGGGTATGTGCCCGTCTTCTGGGCTCACTGCCATGTAATTATGTATGTCGCTGGCCGAGAGCAAGTGCATCGCATGGGCGCCTTCACATTGCTCCTCCTCGATTCCTCGATGCTTTCCTTTTTTCTCTTGGCCGTTTCGGTTTCTGTTTCTGTTTTCGTGTAGCGCCTTGACAATGCACTTGAGTCAAGTTTGCTTCCTCTAGTTGGCCGGCTTTTCCTGGGCATTCTCAGCATATTAGCATCTCGGCATCTTGCATCTTGCATCTTGGCACTTCTTGCCAATGTGCAGCTGCTAGCCAAAACGAGGGGTTTGTCTGCTAGATTATTTATAACAATTCTTCGCTGCTGGCTTCCTCGTTGTGATAAGCGAACTGCCATCGCTCTTCAGGCTTCATTGTTTTCTGTAGTTAATTAATTTCAATTGAAGTAGTTGCCATTCGTCCTTTAGCATTTTTGCAAAATTACTTTCGGTTGGCTTTTGCTGCTCGTCGTTGGAAAGGCTTTTAAAATGCCAGTAGTTGCCGGAGGGGAAAAAGAGGAAATTCCCGGTTCCCTTGGCTTTTATAACTTTCAGCTGGGGATGGGGCAACTTTCTCTTGCCCGCCCACTTTCACTTACTCCCCCCCTCTTACCCGGTTTGATTGATCAATGTTGACAGATTTAACGAGCTGGTAAAGTGCAGCAAAACAATTCAATTATGTGTGTGTGTGGGTGTGTGTGCTCTGTGGGGGTGGGGGTGGGGGTGAGTGCTGGGGATGGAAAGGAAATATTTGCGTACCCCGCCGGATAGTGTCATCAGCAGTGACTGCTCCTCCTTTTTGTGCCAGCCGCCTCCTGCTCCGCCCAGTGCTCCACCGCCTTGGCAACCTTCGTGGCCCCACCGTCACGGCATTAAATATGGGGAATTATTCATGCGACCGCCCCTATCTGGCAGCTAATAAATAATTCACATTGAATTAAATTGCGTGATTTCTTTTCGGCTCGCCTTGCCACAAGCTGTGTAGCCCCCCATTTATGAAATGCAATTTCTGTCTTGACTTTGGCTTTTCCTCATACTTGTTCGTGCCTCCCCCCCTTTCCGCCTCGCTGCCCCTCCCTGCCGGCCATCGCATCGCATTCTTGTTGTAAGTTTTCTTTTCGGGTTTTCCTCATTTTCACATACGCACACGCAAGGCCGCCGTGCGCGATATATGAATTTAATCTCCCCCGATTTCCCGTGCCGTTGTGCGCGTAATGCGATTTTAATGCCGGCCAAGGATCCGCCCTCTCTGATTTCGTGGGTGAATATTATTGGGTCAGTATCCATTATATATCAATTATGCAAATCGTTCATTTTAAAACATGAGCTTTAGTCAGACGAGTTGCCTAAGACAGGAATTAAAATTAAAATGGTATCACTCTTGCAAAAGCTACTTAAGCCACATAGCGTTGCAAAATGTGTTTCAACTGTTTACTTAACTTACCAAAAAGATATCCAATTAGAAATATAGGTATGATTAACTTCAATTTTGAATAACCATTATTTATTGTTGGTACTTCTGCAACCATAAAGATGCTTTTCACATAAATAAATTTTAGTTTGTTGTGTTGTATACCCATGTGGAGATAATTTTACTTTGTACTTAAAGTCTTGAAAAGCACTTCTATAGTTTCCCATATTGTCAGAAATCCGTGACATATTCCACACTTGGAATACCCATAAACTTTGCCCGGGAGGACAAGACAATGGCACGCTATAATCACTCATCCAGTTAATTCTGATCCGATAATTAAAGCGGCGTGTAACCATCGGTTATCATGAATATTTAATGCAAATTTAATTGATATGGGCCCATCGATTGGCCAATAAAATGGCATAATAATAAGCCTTGCATGTGGCGAGCCAGTAATTCGCCCACCAACCCCACACCCATCCACACCCCCATCCACACCCACAAGTGGCTTAGACACGCACAAACTAAGAGGGTGGTGGTTGGTGGTTCGACCAACTAACTTTCAGCTGTCATTGCCAATTCCTGTTAATTTGTGTTTGAGCAGCCATCCTGTGAACAGTGAGCGATTGTTTACTTCAACTAAAGTAAAATGATTATATCGAAAAGAATTACGGCTTTTAGTTCTATTGCTTCTAATTCAAGACTTAAAGAAATAGATATAATATAATCTGTGTAGTTCTTATAATTTAACAAAGAAAGGTGGTTAATCAGAGCATATACATATTTAGCTATAAATTTGTCCTATATTATTGGTCAAAAGCATGGGTGCGACTTTTTTTTGCAGTTTTCTTATAGCTATTGTACAGTTGGCACCCTGACAAGTTGCCACCTGGCCCCGAGTTCTTTTGGCACTTGGCCTTGGCCGTGTAAACCTGGCCAGAAATTTGCCCCCGGTCAAACTTTGTTTACCAACTTAGAGAGCAGGAGAGCCCCAAGTTTGACCCAAATCCTGGCCCTCGAGTGGTAACTTCTGCTCTTCCAGGGAAACGGAACAATTTAATGAGCAAAAAGACTCGCATGAATGGGCGACCAGCAGAAACGAATATTTTTAATGAGGCACAAGCTGAGCTCTGTTTGGTCTTGCGGCCAAAGTTTTCGTTTTGTGTTCTAAAATGTGGTATTCAGTGATTACGACTAATTAATCATTGATTTGTTTTCTTTTTTATTCTCGTTTTAGCATCGTCTTTAAGTATCGACAACATGCAGCGATCCAAATGACAGCACGTCCCCGAGAAATTAGCTAAACTTGAACTCACTTTGTGATATACCCGACTAGCAGAAAGTACGTTAAGCCCTAGTTGTAAACGAACCTAGATACTCTTTCTATATTGTTTCGGTAACTTAAAGCACTTTAGTTAGACAACCCACAAAAGACAGACAGCTGACAGCACTGCTAACTGAGAACCCTAAAAAGACAGGAACTCGAATAAGACCCAACTAGACCGAACCCACCGAACCCACCGAATCCACCGAACCTGATTAGAGTAACCCCAAAAGAGTACCCCAGAAACCAAGAGACAATCAAGCCAACAGCTGAGATCCACTTAGCGCTGTGCCACCATGCCACATGGGGACCGTGAGGAATGTACGTAATATATCCCGCCGATGAGCTCATCTTGATGACCTATGGTTTCTTTGCGCCACGTGTGAAACCGCGACCCTCACTCGACTGCCTGCCCGAGCCGCTCGTGCCCATCGAGTATCCAGCCAGAGCCACCAACACCACCACCCCCAGTAGCCTCGCCGGCCACAGCACCACCAAAGTCCCAACCAACGCCGCCGTCCACTTCGAGGCCAACACTCCGCCCATTGCCATCCAGCCAGCAACCGCTCCGGCAGCACTAGCCTCGTTCTACCCAGGATCTCCGCCCGCCTCACCGCCGTACACCTACCCGGGATCACCTGTTGCCTCGAACTTCTTTAACTTCGAGGAGGCAGCGGCGACACCGGCTTTTCAGTGCCAGTCGCAGAGCCTGCCGCCCACGCCCACCCGCCGCACATCGCGCGCCTCGCTGACCCACTCCAATAACTCGAATCTTTCGCACCAGGGCTCCACGAAGAGGAGCAGCCTACGGAGGAACCCCCAGCGGCCGCCTGCTGCGTCCATGTATAATGATTATAATGATGCCAGCCAGATGCAGGGGAGCAGTGCTACTGGACAGGGACGAGCACCATTCCAGCGCAGCAGCGCAGCCATCGATCAGGATTCGGCAGCAGGAGGAGCACTAGAGCACTATGGGGATCTCCGCTCACGCAGCCCCAGTATCTTTCTGGAGCCACCCACGCCGGATCCCACGCACGCCCACTTCGGACCAGGATGGGGTCGACCCATGTCGCCCATGGATTTGCCGCCGGAAAGATCGTCGGCCAGCGCATCCGGCAGCAAATCGCCCACCGGAAAGTCACGTCTGCGGCCCAAGCTCCACCTTCCGCTGGGGCGATTGGGCCGCTCCAGCTCCTCGGACACGAGGGAGAGCAACAGACTGCGCGAGGATGTGCATGTGCACGTCGAGAATCCCGTCTTCAGCAGCGAGAATCTGCGCCAGAACAACTTCGATGCATTCTTCGAGGCCCGCGAGCCGGTCATCAAGCTTCAGCCGAGAACCCCTCACACGGCGCCAGCGGATGGCAGTGGGAGGGGCTACTCGCCGCCTCTGGAGAACTATGCGGGTGTCTACGATTCACCAAGGACGAGGAGTCCGGCGGGCAAGGGCGGCGGCAGCGGTGGCGGCCTATTTGCGCGATCGCCGCGCGAGGACCGGGAGAGGATGGCCGGCGCCAGGTCACGGAGTGCGGATCAGTGCGACGGAGCGGTGGGCGGACAAGCCAGTGGAGCGGCGGCCAGGGGTTCTAACTCGACGGGCGGCGGCGGTGGCGGGGGCGGGGCCAGTTCGGGCGGAACGCCTTCCAAAGGTGACAGGTGCCTTCCAAGTCTTCTTTGCACCTGCTAATCGAATCGTTTACAGTTGTTTGCCGCGCGTCTCGTAGAAACAACCTCGAGTTGACCGCCATAACATGCAGCATACTGGGGGTTCTGGAATTCACTTTTAAGGAATCTGATGGGATTCAATTTGAGTTGGGAACCTCTGCACAATATCATCTCTCAACTTTCCAAGCAAATGGAATTCCATCAAGATTTGTGAATGTGAAAATTCTGGCACTCCTTTTTAGTTTAAAGCAACTATTCATTCGCTGCAAGTTGGAGTTCTGAGTTCTGTTTAGTTTGAGAATGCCTTGAAGCACTTCATTTGTACAGAGTATCCTTGGATTGTCAGCGAAATAGATATGCATATCTATATTTTGGATTATTAGTGAAACATAATCATGTGTCCGATTATATTTAATACAGCGTGCCTTTTCTATTAGAAACCTAGAAGGTTGTGTAACTATTAACATACGTGTATATTCAGAATTCCAGTAAGCGAAATACTCAAAGGGGGAGGTGTTCATAAGCCCGTGTCTGCCCTTGAACCTTTCAATTAGCCGCATTACGAACTCGTTCAATTTCTGCACAATAAGACCAGAATCCTCACAATGGACTCTCAGATTTCTAGCTCGCAGTTTTTCCAAGGATACTCAGCCTTTGGCGCTGCCAATGCTCGCAAACCCATCCCTGTGCCGTCCTCGCTTAGTTAAGCTCGGTTAACTTTTGGTACTAAACACACACAAAGGCGAAAGGCGAACTTAAAGTGCTTAGGATGCTTGACTTTCCGCCCGCCCATTTCCCATTTCCCATCTGCATATCCATCGTGCCTCCTTATCGCTTGAGTGGGGTCCACAGCTGCTCCTCGCATGCATAATTGGATTACCTGGGCCCGTGGATGCAACTGCGGGTGCAACTGCGGGTGCAACTGCAGCTACAACTGAGTCTGAGTTGCGTGCCTGGAGCGCATTCTCCGAATGCAAGCACGCACATAATTCCTTCGGAAAACTGAAGGAGCTGGAGGAGCAGGAGGAGCAGGAGCAGGGGCAGCACATCCAGCTGAGACTGGCGTTCCAAAATGAATGTCAGCTTAGCAGCGCGTGAAGTGTAATCAACAACAGCGATAACGACATCCTTGCAGCTGGCACGTGAGCTCGAACCGCCCGAGATCCTGCCACACCACCAGCACTAGCACCAGCACTAGCACCACCACTAGCACCACCAGCAGTACAACCACCCACTGGAATTCATTTCAAAGTTCACAGCGCGGCAAATTTGATGACCAGCGGCAAAGTAAATCAAGTGCTACGTGATCGCTGCAAATCTCGGACACGCCCTGTTTATTCCGGCAATGTAACTTCAAATTGGACGGGGCCAAAAGGATGCGACAGCCGAGTCCTTTAATAATTTCTAAAGCACACTTTCGTGGGCGATCCGCTGCAGCTCCTACATATTTCATTGGGCCAGCCAGTCGGACAGTAATTGAGCCTCGTGTGAGCGTGTCCAAACAAACACGACAGACACTTTGGACAGTGGGCCTGGACTTGGTTAGGAGGGTCGAGTGGTGGAGCGCTGAGTCCGGGTGAAACAATCACCAGACATACCAAACAAACGGACCCCCGAGTCTTTTTAGCTGCGAATGTGTTCTAACGAAATCTCGACTCTCGCCGCGGCAATGAAATTACGCTTCATTTATTGATTGAATTTTAAATGAGGGGCTCCCATCTGCCCCGACTTTGACTTGGGCGCCCAACATCAGACCAAAGGAGCCAAAGAGCAGCAAGACGGAGGAACCTACATACAGTGGAGCTTAAATGTGTAGGACTGAGCATTTCATCGCTTTCACATCTCAATTTTATTGGGTTGAAATCGGGGTGGAACAATTGTTTTCTATTCCCCCGCCTGTTTCATTGTCTTTAAAACCATCAAACCATGAACTAAGAATAATTCTTTCATTTAAAATTATTCGTGTTAAACCTTTCAACATTTTGGCAAACATTTAAACGTGGCCACTCAAGAAGCATAGCTATTGATCGTTAAATACAAGTTAGAAGTTTTATGATTAAATAAGCGAAAAACTTGAATTACAGACGCTCATAAGTTATTAGTGGTCAGTATTTAGGGTTGAACCACCAATTTGACCGCTGTTGTTTAGGACCTTTTGTTGACTTTGGTAATGGGGCTCGGGTTTAAGGAGCTGTCCTGGACTGGAATACTCGAATTTCCGACTTGGCGCAAAGCGAGAATAGGAGCGATAGAAAAAGTGAAAGACCGTGGGGGGCAAATGGGGAGCTGCCTCCGCCTCCACTCATTATTTATGCATAAATACAAAAGGCAGCGATCTGTTTGATTGGCCAGGGGGTGGCGGGAATGGAGCACTGACTTGTGTATTTGCCATGGCGTGGCCAAAATAATTCCTGACATTGCCTGACGGATACTTTACTCCAACCACCCGAAATCAAATCACATTTCGTTTGGAAATACTCATTTGTTTGCTTTCAATTCGGTTCGTTTTGTTTGGAATTTACGCTGCGTTCTGTTTGTTCTCTTTATTTAATTGTTTGGTTTTACGAGTTGATTAATTTTTGGTTTTGATTAAAAAATGGCTTACTTTTGCTGTAAGTCCAGTGAGTGATAACGCTGTTGTCGTCGGCAGGTTCTTCGGTAAAATCTTCAAGTGGTCGAAGAAGTCGTAGGAGGAGGATCTTCGGGTGGAGGGGACCACGAGGTGGTTCCCTTAGCCCCCAGGGCGGCAGCATGGCGTCCTACAACGGCGTGCTCAAGGATTACAGTCACAGCAGTTTGAACGAGGCTTTCAAATCCCAGAACAATGTCAACTTTAAGTTAATTAAAACAGGTGAGTTTAACCAGAAGCCAATATATTTCCAGCTCCTATCCCATCCGCCACATGGGATTACACGTGTCGTGTGCCAGACTTTCACACCTGACACGCTCGCCAGGTGGCACACAAAGTGACAAACAGCGGGCTCGGGTTTCGCCCAGAAACGGGACAACAAAAAGCAATTTATGTGGCAGCATTTGATTTGATAAGTTTCTGTACTCGCTTTTATGGCTTATTGATTTCGATTGCCGATTGTCTTTGTCGGGTCGTCAGATTGAGGCATAAATCAGTTAGGCCAGCAAAGCCTCGTAAATTCCCTATCCCAACTATGAGTATGTTTACCCAACGAACAACATCCTCTGACACAGCTGCAACTTTTCGACATAACTTTGACTTTGAATTACGGCGCTGTCAGAGAAAGTTGTCCCAGCGGATGGCACCTTTGGCACTGGCGAACAGCAGAGTTTCCAGTAGTTTTGTGTAGCCTGTAAAGTTTTTAATAACATTTTTGCTGTGAACTGCATGTGAAATCAGAGAAGTTGAAGTACAAAATTATTGATTAAATTAAAGTTGCCTAGCACAGCAACAGAAACTTTTCAGTTTCAACACGTTTGACAACCTGTTGCACAGACGCTATAATCGCGTATCTGGCGGCTCATAAAACGATTGGACCATAAAATGGCAGCTTAAGTGGCCAGAAGCCAAACATCCATATTCATATATGCCTGAGTAATCGTAAATGTGATGGATTATCCAACAGGCAGTCATTTTTTTTTTAAAGAGGCTGACTTTTTGTGCTTAACAGCACATAAACTGGCACTTTTGTGCCAGGGAAAACAAAGTAAGGGAAATATGAAAGGTTCACACTCGGAAAAAAGTTGTTAAATACATTATTTAAACGTAAATAAATAAGTTTTATTGTCTAAGGTATTTCTTGGTCACTTTTGAGCGCAGCCTTGGGATTTTGAGATGTGGAGAGAAACACAAAGACTTCAGCCGGAAGTGCCCGCCTCTCCCCTGTGGGCATATCCGTTTCCGGTGCTTTCATTGTGTCTAATGCACTTTGTGGCCCGTCATAAAGCGTGACTGCCTCTTAGTTTTATTTGACCTTAACGCTCACTCAACTTAATTCAATTACAGTATCCGATTTCTCCGAAACACTATCCCGTCTGTACGAGGAACACGCAACTGCCCTCCAAGTTGCGGTTTCCAATTATCGCAAGAAGAATGCCGAATTACGCAAAGAAAGGTAAGTGGCCCAAACGATTTTTCCAGCCAAATTCAGTTGCCAAAACCCCAACCGAGTGGCGTGCAGACCCGCCTGCCACTTGGCCATCTTTCAGGCATGGGAAACATTCCTGCAGGAGGTCGAAACCGATTCACAGGCCTGCAACGATGTGGCCAGCGTCCTTTCCCGCCAGGTGAGAATCCCTTAAATTACGGTTTTCGTCGGAAAAGTTGCCGAAACCGAAATGGGTTAATGGCAATATCGTGTCGCGTTAAATATTCAGTTGCCTTCACTGAAAATAGAACTATACGCCACTTGTCGTGCACTTGCCCTAAAGGATTTTTAATTAACTTAATGCAGGCATGCAGGGATTTATTTTCGCTTTTGAAACAATACCCAGATTTATACTAATAATAATGTATGATACGTTTATTTGTACCAGTTACCACATCGATCGGATGGGCAGCCACATGTGTGTTTGTGGCCTTGAGGCAGCACAAAAAAAAAATAAATTCCCAATTTGCATTATAAAAGGCAGACTCTAATTACGGTTAATTAGTGGGGGCGTGGCGCTGCGGGCCCTGGGAAATGACATGTGTTTTTCGAGTGCCGAATAATGTTGTTTTGCCGCGGCGTTCGCTTTGTTTTATTTGGCTTGTACATTTAAATTTCGTTTTTCACGATGATTTGCCCTTTTTTCATTCCGCACAACTGGTAGGGGACTAAAATATATGCCATACATAATTTATTTACGCACTTCTTTAGGTGTCGCGACCAATGCTGGATAAATCCTTTCATCGCAAAGTTCAAAGCCGTAAAATATTTACACACAGGGAGTCTTTTGAGACTATTATCGCAAAGACTGAAGAGAAGCTGTCGAAGGTGAGTTTAATTAACTAAAAGCGTTGATTAACACATGCCCTGAAGGTCTTAAAGTCACAAAAGCAAACTTACCGAACAGCACTTTAAGATGCCTTAAAATTCTGTTCGAGCAGAAAATATCGCATACGCAGTGTGGGCCGGTCCAATTGCCCATCAAATGCTCTGTCCATTGTGCGTGTGCCAATTTAACCTTTTCTGTGATTACCCATAAATTGACCACCCAACCCTTGTGACCCTTTACCCTCTCCCTTTGTTGGTTACCATTGCCATTGCCATTGGCATTGCCCATCCCTCCTTCCACAGTGCCGTGTGGACTACAAGCAGTGCCACCTGGCCCACCGACAGAATCCCAGCCAGCACTCGCTCACCGAATACATCGACGCCCATAATGCGTACGTGCAGCAGCTGCATGCCACAAATGGAATGCTGGAGGCCTACCACACGGACACCCTGCCCCAGCAGATGCAGGAGCTGGAGGAGATCCACAACGACCTGGTCGCCATTGTGTCCGACTCGCTGATGCAGGGCGCAGAAGTAATTGCCGGCAAGGTGAGTGCCCCGCCGACCAGTGATTTATCACTGCAGCAGGTGGTTGTCGCACCCCATAAACACAGCATAGTGTAGTATAGTGTGGCAATGGGCCACTGGCACCTCGAATGCGAGTTAATTTCTGCAGCACCTTTTGTTTCCTGGACAGTAATTTGTACACGATTATTATAATTGCGCGGGGTAGCAATTTGCTCTGGTAATTTGCCTAATGCGTGGGCGGCTCTTGCGTGATGATTGCGACAGTTCTTAGCGGGATTGGGTATGGGGAAAAGGGAAAATATATATATTGGTAAATTGGTAGCTCGAGCAAAAATGGTTATAATGAAAAAGAAAGGAGAAAGAATTAAGTACTAGATAAAGATAGCATTATCAGAATACCTCCTGTAAAATGAGTCCAAGTCATAATTATTTGTATACCTCCACAGGGCAATGACCAAGCCAAGCGGTACAACAGCCTGACCAACCAGTGCGCTGCTGTCTCACCTCAACAGGATCTGGTGAACTTCGTCCGTCTTCTGGCCCAACCATCGCAGGCCCAGAAGATTCCCAGACGACTCTTTGCATCGCCGCAGGCGGAGGGCGGCGAGGAGGCGGGCGACCACAACGTGAGTAGTAGTGCACATAACACCTGTCCGGCGGACTAAAGTGATTGTTTTTGTGGCACGTGTCCGCCGCAGGAGATGACGCCCTGCCTGCGGAACGAGTTGGTCTTCGACCGGCACTCCACACTGTCACAACGCTCCGCGTTGGAGTCGCTGAAGCGGGAGGCCATCGAATTGGAATTGCAAATACGTCAGCTGCAGGTGAGCTGAATAATCCAAAATAATCCATAAAATAATAAAAGCTCACAGTACGATATCGCAGCCATGTCGGTACTTCAAAAAAATGGTTTGTTATGTTTCCAAAGATTTTATTTGAATGGGTGTCCAACAAAATAATAGTTATACCCGTTAATCGTAGCGTAAAAGGGTATACTGGATTCGTTGAAAAGTATGTAGCCGACAGAATGAAACGTTTCCGTCTGTCCGTCCGTCTAATGTGATGATGTTGTAGTAATTCACAAAAATTCAAAAATGACCTAGGGCCGATGTTCTAAAATCCATAACTCAACTTATCCTAATCGGATTTTGAAGTGGCATATCTCTAAATGTTTCTGGCGCAATTCTCTAACAATCTGAATTCAAATTTAGAAATATATATTTTTTTAATTTTTTTGTCATTTTTTTGATGTTATGATGTTGTAGAAATTCAAAATATAAAAAATGCCCCAAACCTGAAGTTCTAACCTCCATAACTCAACTTATCTTAATCGGATTTTGAAGTGGCATATCTCAAAATGTTTCTGGCGCAATTCTCTAAAAAACTGCATTTAAATTTAAAAATTTATTTTTTTAAATTTTTTTTGTCATTTTTCTGATGTTATGATGTAGAAATTCAAAAAATTAAAAAATGCCCCAAAGCTGAAGTTCTAACCTCCATAACTCAACTTATCTTAATCGGATTTTGAAGTGGCATACCTCTAAATGTTTCTGGCGCAATTCTCTAAGAATCTGCATTCAAATTTAGAAATTTATTTTTTTTTAATTTTTTTGTCATTTTTTTGATGTTAAGATGTTGTAGAAATTCAAAAAATTAAAAAATGCCCCAAAGCTGAAGTTCTAACCTCCATAACTCAACTTATCTTAATCGGATTTTGAAGTGGCATACCTCTAAATGTTTCTGGCGCAATTCTCTAATAATCTGCATTCAAATTTAGAAATGTATTTTTTTTTATTTTTTTTTGTAATTTTTTTTGATGTGGTGTTGTTGTAGAAATTCAAAAACTTAAGAAATGTCCTAAGCCGAAGTTCTAAACTCCATAACTCAACTTATCTTAATCGGATTTTGAAGTGGCATACCTCTAAATGTTTCTGGCGCAATTCTCTAAGAATCTGCATTCAAATTTAGAAATTTATTTTTTTTTAATTTTTTTGTCATTTTTTTGATGTTAAGATGTTGTAGAAATTCAAAAAATTAAAAAATGCCCCAAAGCTGAAGTTCTAACCTCCATAACTCAACTTATCTTAATCGGATTTTGAAGTGGCATACCTCTAAATGTTTCTGGCGCAATTCTCTAAGAATCTGCATTCAAATTTAGAAATTTATTTTTTTTTTAATTTTTTTGTCATTTTTTTGATGTTAAGATGTTGTAGAAATTCAAAAAATTAAAAAATGCCCCAAAGCTGAAGTTCTAACCTCCATAACTCAACTTATCTTAATCGGATTTTGAAGTGGCATACCTCTAAATGTTTCTGGCGCAATTCTCTAATAATCTGCATTCAAATTTAGAAATGTATTTTTTTTAATTTTTTTTGTAATTTTTTTGATGTGATGTTGTAGAAATTCAAAAAATTAAGAAATGTCCTAAGGCCGAAGTTCTAAACTCCATAACTCAACTATTTTAATCAACTTAATCTATATTGTTTTTTCTATAACCATTTAAATTTCATAAAATATGATGTGAAGTCGTATAAAGAAATAGCAAAAATCTGCTTATATTTGTTCGGTATTCTCAAAAGAAGAATGCAGCTTTTTGCTGTCTGAGGAGTTCATTTCGGTGCATGAGCTACAATCATCTCGTTTCTCGTGTAGTTTACAAATCAAAGATGCAACTACCAATGCAAAATAGCCCTCCAGAGCTGTAAGAGGTTATATTGTACATACTTTTGCCAAGAATTTATAAATGTTTTGCCACTTACTCAATGAGGGAAATGTTATGAAAGCTTGCGTAAAATGAAAGTTCCGTAGGGTATTGTTAATATTCGATATGAGAGTAGTGAATAGCGTGATGTAAATCCAAAGAAAGAGGCAAACCTGGTGACCCTTCGTGGAAAAAAAGATTATTAGCCTTTATATTTGAATACCATTTCTTGACTCTCACCCATTTACTTCCAATTAGCAGCAGTAGCGAATTGAGTAGAGTAACCAATCCGAGTCCCATGCAAAAGTACTGACTAGTATGATAAAGTAACTTCCTCTTGATTATTCCTTCCCTATCAATTTTTGTGATCCAAAAGGGATCAGGTAGCATTTGACTTGGCCCTGATTGATTGGCTAAATAATATATACCCAATATCTGTATCAAGCTCACCAAAGCCTCGAAACCTGCTATTATCCTGCATCCTTTTTCCAAATCGAAAAAGTAAAAGAAGCTCTTGAATCTGGGAATGGCTTTGAATCTGCCCTCAATGGTCTTCCGACGTGAATTTTCCAAAAAGCCCTGACCTTCTTGACAAATCTCATTAGATGACATTTCCGGTAAATTTCTCTATGATTGTTGAAGATTTGGTATCTGGGGTGTTGCCTATGAAAGTTTTTGAACAGCCTACTTTTAAAACTTATAGATTTTCGTAGAACTATTTACTATTTGAAATATATTTGACTTTTAAAAACTAAAATAGTTTACAGGATCTATTATTTTCACAAAAAAAGTGGTTTTACGACCTCTAAAACTATTTTATATTACAGTATCATCACCCATGGTGATTTTTATTTTAATAATCTGGTTACTTTTCCTCCCGCAGGACTCCATTGAGGCCCTGAATCGAACGCAGACCCGTGGAATCGAGGGTCAGCTGTACAACAAGGTCAACGAGCTGCAGGAGGATTTGTCCATGAAGAAGTTCGACCTGCGGGCCAAGCAGATCCATTTGGCGGCCATAAGGGCTCAGGTGAGTTTCGATTTGGTCGGGGTGAAAAGCTCCAAAGCTTAGCGGGAAAATGAACCCTGGAAAAGCGGGAAAACTTGGAAAAGCTGACAAAGCGACGAAAATAACCAATCGAACTTAAGAAAAGCACTCCCTTAGCTTTTCACAGACCTGTTGCTGGCAGCTTTTTGGGGGAACTTTTCATGGCCGAGATCTAATGAGTTCCATTAGGCGGGGTCGGAACCCCACACGCCCCCATTTGCACGCTTGAAAGTACAGATGAACTGGCGCTCGTATGTAGGTCAAACAGCTGATTGCCGACTGCGCATGTGACCCAAGCGTTTCGCCATCCCTCTCGCTCATTGGACCATTGAAAGCCGCCAGCAGGAGCCAACTGTGGGTTAGGTTCGTCCTTCGCCTTTCGCTTAGTCCTGCGGTAGATTAGCTTGTGCGTGGTCAGTGCGGCAGTATGGCTTGATTTTGTCCTGCACTTTCCAGTTTCCTGTTTTTTTGCGGTTCCCAAAAGAGGGTTACTCAGCCAAAACTACTCCGTGTGCTGTGCGACTTTCTGTGTTTTCTGTTGTGGCGAACTATTACGGTGTGGGAGTTTGGGAAAACCAGCAGCCTTTTGAGTGTAACCTCAACCTCTGGGCCTGCAAGTGAATCAGCTGTTGCCGAACAGGGCTCGGAAAAGTTAGTTGAGAGAGCGAGAGAGTGAGCGAGTGAGAGAGCGCGGAAAATTGCATGCGAAGCGTTGCCAGACATTCGAGCATTTTCCCGATGTCGCTGTTTATAAAAGCAGCGTGCAACGTTCGCTCCGAGTCAGTCACGTGCTTGCACTTCGACGTATACGTAACGCGGCTCGCCAGCTCCGCTCTTGGGTGATCCGTTCGACAAATTAGCCGTAGCCGTAGTGCCGTAGCCGTAGCCGTAGCCGTACTTCCGCAGCCGTATCCGTATCCGTAAGCGCGCCGTCGTCGTCGTCGTTCTTCGTCGCGACTGAGGTGCGATTGGCTGCCAATCGCGCAACTGGAGGGGCTAGCTAAGAAACCAAAAGCAAACGAAACACAAACCTTAGATCCAAATAAAGTCGAAAAAATAAAAAAATTTATATATATATATATATATAAATATATCCCGAAAACAGACACCATTCATATATATATCCACCTAATATATATGCATAATTTTAGAGCGCAGTTCAGGGCAGGCTTTTCTAGGCGAGTTGTTCTCTATTTTGATAGCCACACACAAGATAAATTGAATTGAGTGCAGCGCGTAAGTAACTAAACGATGATCAAAATAGTAATGCAACCAACTAGTCGACAGTCCATGTAAAATAACTTAGCTTTATAAACCAATCACGCATACGCACCGTGCGCCCAACGAATTCGAATCATAAAACAAATAGAAAAGAATATAAATATAAATAAACAAAAAACGAATCTATGTAGCACTGCCAGAATTACTTCAAATCTTTTGCCTGCCTTCTACAATAAATTTCTAGCCAAGTAGTCGAAATTCGTGGCCAAGTGCTTAACTTCACCAATCAGAAGCTAGTGCAAAACTAATGCCAATAAAACACAACTCAATCAATCTAGCTAGCTCGTATGTACTGTAAATAACCAATACTCTTTGCTAATCTAGATGTAGTTTACTCTATTCTTACTCAGTAATTGCAACATCAACTATGTAAAAATCTATCTAGAGCTAGAGGCTCGGCTCGCTTTGCATTTTGTAATTTCGTGACCTTTGTGCCTGCACCGCACCACCCGACTGTGGGTGCAGTCGCAATAGCACCCGTACACGTACTTGTAACCACCAAATACTACCAACCACCCACAACACACTTCGCATCCGTATCCGCATCTGAATTCGCATCCGAATCTGAATCCGAATCCGAAAGCTATATCTGAATCCGCCTCCGATGTCGCGAGGAGTGAAAACCCGTTTGTGAACGGCCATCACTTGAGAAAATCTATAGAGAGACTAGCGACCCCGGCGACACCTCGAAATTGTTGTTTGTTAAAAACACATTGCGTAAATAAAAGTACCAGTAGCCGAGAGCCACACGCACACGTACACCCCCTCCTCACATAATATATACATAAATATATATACGAGTATATATCTGCCCCATCATGCGCGTTATCGTTCTCAAAAAGAATCGGCCCAACAAACGCGGCACGCCCACGGCAGCAGCGGCCACCTCCTCGCGAGAACCGGCCAAAAAATCGCCGTACGCAAAAGTAAGAATTTGAATTTAAACTCGATACTCTCAATATTTGGTTTCAATTTTCGACGATGAAATTCTCGTTATCGCGATAACGAGCATTTCAGCCTTTTGTTTCCTGTCCAATTTGCCAGTGCAATCAATTTTTGAGTGTCCTACACCCCGATATGTTATATTTTCAGTGTGCACATTTCCCGGATTTTCCGATGCAAATGTGCAAGTTTTCGCGCCGCTCGTGTATGTTTCATGATTTTGAATGCAAATGCAATTACTTAGCCACAATAAGCGCATGTTTAAGTAGCAATCTGTGCATATGTAGCTCAAAAATTGGTTGTAGTGGCCAGGCATGCTCTAAACTTAACTACCAATGAAATATTTGTTTTGTGTTTGAATTACCATATGCTTTACCATTTAACTGAGCTAAAAACGCTTTGAGTCTTGTTTTAGACACCAAAATGATCAAATATTTCAGTGTATTGTGTATTTTCTCTGAATTTATATGAGTACATGCTTTTTCTATTTAGTAATGCAACAACCCAAGTTAAAATTAAATAATTGTAAGTAGGAGCTTGCAAATTTTAAAGTATAATTAATTTATCTTGCACTAATTAAACTTCCTCGTTGCGCGTGTAAAGGACTTCCGATTCTTCCACGTTACGACGAAGTTTTTTCTGCAATTTCAAAACCAAGGAGGCAACCACTGCGCAGAAATAGATTTCAAGAACTGAAATTTGAGCAAGTTAAAATAAAAAGTATATACATACACTTCTTTACTCACAAATTGAAATAGTGGAAATGAAGAGAGTCGGCAGGTCGCCGTATTGCATGATATCAATACAAGTGCTAATTAACAAGGTTATAACCGCAATGCAAATCCAAAGGACGAGACAGGATAGGTGACTCTGGGAAAAGTAGGGTACTAGGTATTATTCGAACTTATACGAAAGGTGCGAGTACTTACACATTCAGCACCTATAATAAGCAGCAAGGATCTGAAGACAGTCAACGAGCACAGTGCTCTTTGGAAGTAGAGGTTGCTTTCAAACATCGGCATCATGGTATTGGGTCCTAGCATATCTCCGTCCGGTTCCCTGGTGACCAGCAGGGAATCCGGTGACTCCGTAGTTGTGGTCTTGATCTCCAGCTCCGTCATGTGAAGGGTGAACATTTGCAACACACTTACCACGGCTTCGAAGACGGCTATCATTTTGCAGCCCGTTTTCAAGCTGAAGAAATAAAAGCAGCTAGTCAGTCCCTTTATTTCATTGATATTCTCATTAAGTCGCGTCCAGCCAATTGGGGAATTCAGAAAATTTCGAATATACGCCATTCTCGAGCGATTTCAGTAGATTACTGGAATAAATGCCGCTAAACAATTCGTTGCCAGCCTACTAATGAACTTTTCATCGATAGCCTCTGATTGAGTTTTGGGTTTACTTCCGATTCGGCCACTCGGAGTTAAGTGCACAAGAAAATCCAATTTGATTTATACGCTGCGGCAAGCGGAGCCCCAAAATGGACGAAAATCTAAAACAATTCAATTTTCCAAGTGTGGCAGCCAGAAACAGAAAAACAAAAAGCAAAAAAAAGACAACAAAAAATCGTTTCCTTCCTGTTCCGCCAAACCCTCCGGTACTTGTTCAACTTGTTCCGCCCGATTCGATGGCACAATCAGTTGCCCATAAGCGAAATTCCCTTACTGATTTCCTTTTAAAAGCATTTTTCGAATTGTCTTGACTGCGAGGCAGCCACTTGAGTCTGTCCGCCCGACCTTCGCCCCCTGTTACCTCATTTCAGTTTCATTTTGGCCCTGTTTCCAAAAAGCCCGGGGCCAAGTCGTGTTTCCCATTTATTTATTATTGTACGGCGTGCTGCTGCTGCTGCTGCTGCTGCTTCTACTGCAATGACAATTTGCTGCGAATATGCCTTATCGGTTGCCATCCAAGCCAATATGCTTGAATTATTTCATTTGGCTCGAGAGCTGAGACTCATTCAATTAATTAATCGCATTGTGACTGGCATTATTTCTACCGATTTAAAATGCACAAGTGGACCACCTGCAAAAGGGGATTAATTTCGCAGAGCTCGAGAAGAGGCGCTCGGTCCCTAGGATTTATGGTTAAGCATGTCGCCGCGCGTCGACTGAAGGTCAAAAGCTGTGCTCCTTTATAAAGGGTTAATTTTAAATTTATGGCCTTCCCCACACTAACTTATTCGAGTCGAATCCTTGTCCAGGGACCTACGACAAATCCGTAGGCCAATCGTGGGGGAGCCCACAAATTTGCACGTTAACCGCAACCAAAGCAACAATGGCTTCCTCAATTTGTTTAAGTGTGTGCGTGGGAGTGTCTTTTTCTGCGTGTGTGTGTGTGTGATGTGTGTGTGTGCGATGTGTGCGTGTGGGGGTGAAGGCTAATGTGTGTGGGTGACACGGTGATATTTCTCTGGGTCCTGACACGTTATCTGGGCGACGCCCGTGTTGGTTCCTACTTTATTTTATTGCTTTAATAAATATGAAATGGGCTTACTTTTTTCCGGACATTCGGCATAGTTTTGCTTTTTTCGCGCCACTCACCATTCACCCCATTCACCATTCACCACTCGCCCCTCGAGTGCCACCAATTATGTTGCCCAAATTGGGTTCTTCTTTATGACAATCCTCTTAATCTTAATCACGCGACTTGATGGCCACAAGGAATTGATGCCCGCGCGCTGAATAGGAATATTTATACGCATGCGGGTCTATACGTCCATAGGTCCACGGGTCTTTGTGTTTGGAAGCATAATTTGCTCGGGCATAAATTTTAATTAATCATAAAAACGCTGGCATAAAAATGCCAACAGGTCCTGGCAGCGCTTTCTTTCTTGTGCCTGGGCCAGTTCTCGCGTCCCAATCCGCTGCAGCCTTCGCCTAGCGCATTCCATCCAGGAATTCATATTCATGTTTAATAATAAATCACAAGATGCCGCCGCTGTTCGCCAGGAGCTGGGGCTGCCCGGGGGCAGCTGCGGTTGCATCCTTGGAATCCGCACAGAAAAACACTGGGAAAGCGTCAGCCGAAGGCGAAGTCAAATGCCAAAGGAAGCCCCAGTAGAATGGCGGCGGCATAAAAGGATTTGCGGCTAAAGGCAAATTTAATTAAAGACATCAGCACCGCCTCACACACAATGGCGCTGAATCAGGAGCAAATCCCTTGGCCTCAGCCGTTTTAATTGCCCACTACCTGTTCCTGTTCAGCAGCCAAGCGGCCAAAAAGGACGAACCGAACAATGAACAATGGGTATTCATTTGCGAATTTTGGTATCAATTAACCGACCGCCCATTCATCATCAGAGTCGTATCTAACGGATGTATGCTTCAACTAATTCAGTGAATGAACACGAGGCGAAAATGTTTTGCAGTTCTGCATTTCACACTGAAGGCTTTCGCTGTTGCCTGATAAATAATTAAGTGGCAGGGTCGCAGCCACCAATGCAAATTAAAAAGCGTGGTGCACTCGATAGAGTCGACTAGGAGGCACCCTGTATAAGTTCATGTGACAAGTAGTCAAGTATCTCAATTAGGCGAAATACAAATATTTAGAAAAAACAAAAATAAATAGATACAGAGGTAATATGATCCTTGCAAGTCCTTGAATACATTTCACATTTCTTATTCAACAAATAGTAAAATAGGAAAAGTTTAAGGTTTTTTTTAAATTGCCAAGTACCTTACATTATGCCCCAAATGCTCGGGTCTCAAAAATTGAAGATGTACATTGCTACTTCTACTGGGGGCCAAGTGGGAGTACCGCATTGGGGTCGTTCGGCTGAATCTGATGGACACTTGAACAGACAGATTTTTGGCCGCTTGGCGCTCTGGAGATTTCACATTTCGTTGACGCACGAATGGCACGAAAAACAGTTTCAGCTTTCAGTTTCAGCTTCAGTTTCTGTTTCGATTCCTGGCACTCGTCATGGGTATCTGGCTGGTATCTGGTATCTGGTATCTAGTATGTGGCATATCTGCATGTGGGTGTGTTTGCATTCATTAAAATTTCATTCGAAAATCAGCAGATATGCTGCTCTAGCCTCTCCTAGTCATTTGTTTTGCCAGCCACGAGAACTTGCCATTGTATTCCCGTATTCCCCTCGGATCGCTGCTCCTTGGAAGGGAAATATTCGCCTGTCAGCAGGAGCCAAGTTGATGGAAATCTGTGAAATTGGTAGAAAAAGTGCAAGGACAGGCAAATCGTAAGTTGATATGCTTGTGTCTTGAATATTTTATTGCTGGATGGATAAATGGGGTCCACAACTGAATACATGTGCGAATGTTTAGCACTAAGCACAAACTAAGTTTCACTCGCCTTACGTGTAAATGAAATATCAGGATGCATGTGAAATAGAGTCATAACAAGGAGCATCATTGTAGCACCAGGAATATTGGAAATCTTAAGTGTTTCTTTATATTCAATGTGATTAAAATGTGGACAAATCAAAGGAAAACTTCACAGTTAGTAAAGCTTGGATTTCACCTCGTTTAGTACACTTTACTTACTTTAAAGCGAACTTTATTGATACTGAACTAGACAACCGTTTGGGTTGCCATTATTAATTTTACTAGAAAATGGTTTGTTTCCCGCGCTGTCGTTGCAAATCGAATAACATTTTTATTCTTCCCCTGGCGATTTCAGTGGAATTTACGATTGCGTCAAAAAGTATGCCATGCTGGCCAAGCCAATAAAGTTCGCTCTTTATGGAAGGGAAGGATTTGGTTGAAAAGCAGAAAGGACCTAATGGTTTTAAAATTCGCTCACCCACTAATGCGAACCCTTCAGATCCTTCAGCTTTTGCTGGTCCTGCGAAGCTGGCGGCTGTTTATCTGACATTCATAGTTTATGCTCCGTGTTCTGTTCACCTTACTCAACAAGATAAACGCAGTCGAATTTCCCTGGGTAAAATGGGATAAAGGAAGATGGGCAAAAATATGGCCGAGATATAGGGAAAACCACGATGGCGGAGATGGAGCTGGGGCGATGAGCCAGAGGAGCAATGATAAAACTAGTAAAGCATACAACATTGTTTGACTTTGTGGATTTGGCGAGGCATGGAGCAATTCCACTCAGTTTTGCTCGTACTGCTACCCACTTTCTACTTTCCACCCAAAGGTGGCCTTTTCCAAAGGGCGCCTCAAAGCATTTTTGGCAGTTAACCCGTAAAGATGATAAATGCGAATGTCTTTGCCGTTTGAGTGTGAGTTGTTGCAGTGCCTACTCAAGGAATTTATGGCCACCCGAAAAGCGACCATTGCAAACAAAGCGACAAGGAAAACAATCAGAGAAAATGGAAAAACGCGAGGCCGAGCTGCTTGAGTTTTCTTCTCCTTTCGGTGAGATTGACAGGGCAGCTGGCCGAGAGCCATCTCCACTGCATCCTCCTTCTCGCTTCTGCTTCTCGTGGCACTGCTGATCCTGGCCAAACAGAAAGTCACATTAATCAACACTTAAACGTTTAATTGCCGTACATTAATCTTGAGGTTAAGCCGCCTCCATTTGGCCCCCAACTGTCAATTTCGGCCGGCTTGTGTGGGTGTGTTCTTGTGGCCTCTTTCCGACTGCCGCTGTTCCGGCATTAATTGTGTCATTTGGCAATTAACTTTCCGCCCCCCCGGAAAACGTTGGTGTGACAAATTCGGGGCTCGCCGCTTGTAAATATTGATGAGCCGCGGCTGCCACGAGGTGGCGTTGTGGCAAGGAGGTGAATCTGGTCCAAGCCGAGCGGGCCAAAACCGTTGATGGACCGTTGCCAAAATTATGTTCGAGCTTATGCCGCTGGCTTGCAGCTGTCGCAGTTTTGATTGAAATATGAGCCTGGAACTGCCAGCGATGTGACCTCAACTGCGCTGGAATGGTGGAGATGCGAGTGGCGAGTTGAGAGTGGAAAGTGGTGGCGGGTCATTGGGTAGTCCTGGCTTTTGCGAAGAGTTAATTAATTTCCACGTTGACATTTCACTCCGCTGTATATTTAATGAGCGGGCTTTGGTTACGGCTGCGGTTTCACTCACTCTCGGCCTTTCCTCAATTTATCTGAATTAGCGAATATTTTCCAGGCTGGCAAATAAATAAGCATTATGGCTAAAGTTGATACTAGGATCATGTGTATTTATTTTATTTTTTTAAGTGTGTGTATTTATTTTATTTATGAATTTAAGCGAATAAATTTACTGATTTTTTTCATTAATTTTCGATGTTTCCGAAGTTGTGAATCACAAATGAAGTCAAGCCAAAAATTGTTAAGCAAAGCTCATTAAACACAGATTTTGTTTTCGCCTTAGTAAGTTAATCTTTATATGCAAATAAATTTTCACCGAGGCACATTTACCAAAAACTATTTAACACCCA